ATATAACCCTTTCGTATACATGGTTAACGTCATAACCACTTGACCATGAAGGCATTGTGGTGTCGGGTAGGATCTGAGTTCCTTTCCTTCTTTTAACGTACCCTATGATTTTCGGCTTGCTGGGTCTCTCTAATTATACATAAAGTAATGTAAAGGCATGTGAAAAAATATTTACAATAGGCCTATATGCCTAATGATGTAAGTAAGGTCGTTTCGGTCCTGGTAATTTCGGTCCAGTATTTTTTCGGCCCAGTATCGTTTTCGGCCTTCGCTTTTTGTAACAGTACAATACCGGTACTGTTACTGCTATTAAATCAGAAACATATATTTCGACAGCTTTTTTTTTTCATATCGTTGGGAGCAATTAAATTCTTTGGCCAATCTTACAATATTCATTTTCCAGCAAAACTTTGGGGGGTGGGGGAGAAAGAACATGAACATTTTCTGGGGAAATCCCCTTGCCCTCCCCTAGCGTCGCCACTGCGAAAAGTGGTGCTGGTTCGTGAACACTTCGGTATCCGGGCCTTATACTATACCACACTCTGAGTCCTAAATAAAATTGAACACTATCGTTAGTATTATACGTGTCTGCATCAAATTCGTCTAAAATAAAGGTGGTCTAGATACTCATGACAGCATAGGAATTTTTCTTACGTTGTTATTGGTTCACAAACTGAAAGGCTGTCCTAGATTAACAGGGGCGGATTTAGGTGGGGGGGGAGGTAAAAAAAGAAAAAAAAAAAGAAAAAAGAAAGAAAAAGAAAAAAAATGATAGCCCACAACGCCTCAAATGTTATTTTCGGGCGTCTAGAACACAAAAATTTTGCGGGGGCATGCCCCCGGTCCCCCTAGGACATGGTTGTCTCGATCGGCCCAAATTTCGCCCCCCTTTTTGGACATCTCTGGATCCGCCCCTGATTAAGCCTAACATTTATATTACGGTTAGGCCTAATTACAGTATTGCTGCGCTAGAAATTAGCTGCTAACCTTGCATACGTTTATCGTTCTTTCTTCTACCTGACGTTCAAAATATCTTCTTCATCTGGTCTACAATAATTACTTCTTCTTTTTTGTCTACCTGAGCCATTCCATATTATTTTGAAACGACTATAAGGATAGTAGAAGAAAAAGTGACAGGGATGAGCCCTGCTAGGCTGGAAACGTAAAAGAATTACTTTTCTCCACTGGATTCGGTTATGTATGGATTAATCAGAAAATTGAAAATAAAAAAATATTTCTTAAAGAATTTAGATTGAGACTAATTGATACGGAAAAGCAAAAATACTTTGAACAATTTCATTTATATTCGAAATTCAGATATTTTAAGTTATTTAAAACAAAAATTGAAATTAGTCGTCATTTATTATGTATTAAAGATTTAAAACAAATACAACTACTTACTAAGTTCCGTTTAGCCGTTCTTGACCTAGAAATTGAGAAAGGCAGAAGCAACAAGATCCCTATTGAAAATCGTGTTTCCAAGTTACGCAATTTAAGTTCAGTTGAAGATGAATATCATTTTCTTTTAATTTGTCCTTATTATAAAAATATTAGAAATACATGTTTAACCAAATTTTATTATACTTTCCCAAATACCAATAAATTTAAATTATTAATGTGTAATGCTATAGCCTAATAAATGAAGTTTCGAAATATATATATTTAAGTTATATAAGAAGAACTACTTGTTTAGCTACACAAACTGTATAAATGATATCTAACTAATATAAGGGCCTGAGGCCTGTATATAATTTGAAATAAAGTCCTCGAAAGAGGAATGGATGAATGAGTATACTAAATCAACTCTCAAATTATATAATTGGTAAACTTCTCCTTTTTTAAGGATGATTAACACCAGTACATTCATAGTAATGTTTCTCATCCCCTGTCTATTTCATAATACATAATGAAATTTAATATCAAAAAAGAAAAGCCTAACATATTAAGATTCTGTCATTAAAATACCTCCCAGAATGTAGAGGAACGTACTGTCATGCATCTATGGAGCACATTTTTTTCTGGTAGGCGTTCCTACCACACATTATTTCCTTGCTATCAACACTGACTTCGGCCTATTCTGAGAAATCAGTTAGGCACCCATGAGTCATCGTATGCACGGTATCCTAATATAAATATGCAGTTACAGTATAAATATAGCCTGTAGCAGTGTATTTTAGATCGGATGATCTTAAGTCTGTCGTAACCAAATTAAAATCTTGGAACGTCTGCAAAATTTAACATCATTCAATTTCAAATTCATTTTTAATACATCACATACTCAAGAAGTTTACAATATACAAAATGTCTGTACTAATCACATTACTAATCAAATGAATTTGCATAGGCAAGAAAAATTATATTAGGCCCCTATAAGAAATATATATTTAAAAATGTTTTAGAATGTTTGTAGCTCTACGTTAAAAATAATATTTAATTCCAAAACATCAGAAAGTCATAGGCATAAGTTTTATACATGATGATGTTTTAAAGTTACAATATTACACAGCATCAACATGTATAAAACTAAAAACGTTTAAGGAGGCAGATGGAAATAATAGGAGATATTTTATCCATTGTTTTAAAGATTGAATTCCTAATAGAGTGGGAGAATGTGTGTCATTCGGCAAGTTAATTTACCTGCATTTGTCTCTCTCCACCAATGAGTATAAATGGGTACCTGGTGGGGTGCTGGGGCATTCAGTAAATTAGTAAGAGCATTAAATTGTAGAAGAGAAAAAGTTGCACTCCTCACAATTATGGATCTAGTGACTGATCCACTCAGTGCCGGCGCTACAGAATTTTTTTTTGCACTAGTATTTATCTGTGCCTTATAATATAGTCGTATAATTATTTTAATGTTACCATTACAGAAAAAGATCAACAACACTACTACTATACTTAATTACTACTACAACTACTGCTGTTGCTTCTACTGCCACTACTACTATCCTTTCTTTATGCGTTACAATTTTAAGTAGCAATGGAGTCAAGTTGTTTCTTTTCCTTCCATTATTGTCGAGGAGTCGATGTAGGAAATGCTTTTAAATAATCTATTATATATTATTTAGAAATTAACATTTTAAATCCCCACGAAACATTTTCCTAGAAATAACCAAAACCAAACTAACAAACCCCCCCCCCCAAAAAAACCCCCAAAACAAAACAAAACAAAAACAAACAAACAAACAAATGATAATTAGAGCCTATTATATACAGTGTAGGTGGTGTAAAAATGCAATTCAACATTTTGGCCAAGATCCAACAGGGACCATCAGCAGAAGGCTGGTGGTGTCCAAGTGGTTTCGCTCCCTAGAAAATCCGACAACTTATTAATCTAGATGGCTTATAATCAATTTCATAATTCACAAAAAATAAAATTTTCCGCACAAATTATAATTTAGATTATAGAGATCCCAAATGGGATCCAAGTGAGTGGCTATGGCCCCGAAAGTGTCCAGTGGGGGTCCGGGTGTGGTGCAAAGTCTCCTGAAACTCCTGCATTTTATAAATTTGAGTGCTTCATAATATACCGGTAATGCAAATATGATCTTGACTGAAAGTGCAATAGAAGGAGATTTTTGATGCACTTGATGCAATTCAGAACTGCGCTTATAAGCTCAAGGAATTATAAAGAGGCCTACCTATATCAGTACCAGTATGCAGCATTGAAAAAATTCTGTTCTCGTTAGATCACATAAGTTAATGATGTGTCCAGTGGCGTATTTAGGGAGGTGCGCGGGGCGGGGGCCAAAAATCACGTTCAAGTAATTAAAAATCACCTTATTTGCGAATTAGCGCCCCCCCCCCACTTCACCTTCGTTATATTCCTTTTATAGTTTGTAGTTTATTGTAGAATTTGAAAGGTCATTAAGTCAAAATATACAGTAAGTAGGGATTTCCGTATGGAGATCCGACAGGTCTTTATAAATATCGAGTGATTTGTTTCCTTATAATATCATCAGGTACAACTAGATAAACTGTACTATGAAATGTTGATCACGTGGGTGGGATCGAACGTGTCTATAACTTTTGTAGAAAATTCTTAAGCGCCTAGGAACTCTGGAAGGCCTATAGAACCTATGCATCTGTATTCGATCGATAAATGAATTCTATTAACTTAAAGAGCAGTTAAACTCGATTGGCTAATTCTGTGTGTATGAATCGTGGCGTAACCTTTAACTCCACTAAGACTATTCCTCAGAAGACTGTTGAAATATAATATTTAATTGTATAAGTAGGCTTGCCTGACACTTCTAGGGCACTTGCCTCTTTCATAATACCTTTGAAGCTACTGATTTATTTGATTGTAGTTATTATTGTTTTGAAAGAAAGGAATAAATGTAATTTGAATGAATGAATGAAGTTGATAAAAAAAATACCGATCGGATTATTCCACATAGGTAGGCCTAACGAGAGTACGAACTTCCAGGTACGAAACGAACGTACGAGAGTGCAGACGACCTGGTAAGAGATGAAACATAAGGTACAGGTGCTTTATAAGAGATGACAATCATGGAGCATCCTGGACGAAACTCTTATCTTGAACTTTGAAGATTGACAACAATTGTTCTGAATTTAAGGCTTAATCATATTTAGAGGCGCGGCATTGTATCGTTGATTGCTTCCTGAGTATGGGAGTACGTACTAAAGATCTCAATACTATTAAGGTCGTTGTTTATTCGTATCCTTTTCATTTGACGGATTCTACAACAAAGCTAAAGATGAAACAAAATGATGGTGAGTTGATTTAATTTCTGTAAACATAAATTAGACATTCACATATTTGTGTATTATTTCCATTTTCGTTTTAGTTCCACATTGTTATCAGTTTGAGCAGGCTCAGTTAGTCATTTTATAATTGATAAATTCCTATTTACACACACATATTCAGCCTATAAAGTGATTTATAGACCTACAGTAATTCGAATTTCGGTGAACATCTTGTGGCGTGACCACCACACTTTAGTACATGTGTTGTTACAAAAAGGATTATGAAGTCACAACAATACTCATGAACCGTTTACGCATTACGTTATCAGTTTCATTAGCTAATTTCTTTCCAAATGCAATATCAACAGAATAAAAGCGTTATCTTCAAAATATGTTATCACCTGCACAGTCAGGTGTTTTATTGTGATATTTGTTTTGGTTGATGTTGATTTTCTTCCCTTGTATAAATTTTAATAATAATAAATTTGTATTAGGCCTAGGCCTATATATGAATCTCAATAAAATGTTTCCTATTAGTACGCGTTATGTGTATATCGGTTGAAAGTAAACATCCTGACTTGATAATTGACAGTGACGCAGCGCCAGCATTTGCGCTGGCTAAACTCGTGACTAAGGGGAAATGCGGGCATCCGTGTTTACCGTAGCATAAAATGCTATCCTATCCGTATAGTAGTACTGTATTATGACTAATGTACTATTTATGTCATTATCTGGAAATGGTAAAAGCATTTAAAGATATACGGTGATAAATCAGAAAAAAACCCTCAAAATTTAAACATTGAATTGGCTGCCAGCCTAATCTAATATCCAAGAAACATATTAATAGGAACATTGACACTATACTGCTGTTATTGTGGTCTATTTTAGACCTACTATTATTGTGAAGTCTTCATATTCTGAATAAGACAATTGAACACTCTTTTTGTGGATTATTTATTTGCTTAATTGTATTTTATAAATATATATATTTTTTGTAATGTCTTTATATGGAGAAATCTGAAATAAAGTATTTAATTGATTGATGACCAAGCATTAATATTTAAATGTCTGTTAAAGAATAGGCCTATATGATGGATGCTTATATGACGTACTTGGCGTATAAAAAATAAGCACTTCAAATATTAAGATATAGGCTATTATTGTTGAACAGTGCTCCAGAAATGTTCCCTTGTCCGACAGAGGGTCCGAACCAAGATTCCTGGTAGGGGTAATGGGGAGGTCTTTATGGCTTTGTGGTCTAAAATCATGCTTTTAGACCACAGTCTACGTCTACGGCGTATTGCCTACGATGTACGGTAAGAATGGCCCCGGAAAAAATGGCCCCGGAAAAAATGGCCCCGGAAAAAAGGCCCCGGAAAAATGGCCCCGGTAAAAATGGCCCCATATGACAGGTAGGTAAAAATGGCCCCAATAATCAAATTCTGTATTAAACAATTACTTGGTCTAAGATGACGATGATACGGATAGTGGAGTAAACGAGCTAATGAGAAGGACAATGATATAATTATGCATACATATTTGTACACACGTTAACGCCGCGTCAACAGTGAAATAGCTCGCGTTGACACATTAATGATTACGTGAACACATCAAACCAATTCTACCGAGGATATCAAATTATCGCTTAAGTGTCGATATAATGACATTTAAATAGTTACTGACCACACACAAAATTCCGGCCTCTGTACTTAACACATTCATATCAAAAGTGCGTGAAGAAATGTGCAATAATCTATTTTTATATATATATAACTCAATGAAAAGACGATGATATATATATATACCGGTAAATCAAGATAGCCGTTAAATTATATATAAATCATCAAAGATTATAATTTAATTTATATATAAATCATTCGCACAC